GGGGGGGGGGGGGGGGGGTCGGTGAACCGAGAACCGGGATCATATATATATATATATATATATATATGTGTGTGTGTGTGTGTGTATACATATATAGTATTACACACCGATCTGCAAGTACGAAGCTGTACGAAGTTTGGACAACATCACAACTAAATATATGAGTGCACCTGTACCGAAATATGTACAATTACTACACGTACTTACATTACGCCACATTCCTTTAATGCAAATACTTTGGTCTTTGCTTTGCCGTGTGATGTACTTTGCACTGCCTCGTTACCTTAAATCATGTCACTTCTCATATGTTACGTTATCTACCTTACGTTATGGTGAACGTAGGCTGCTCGAATCACATGACTTCATGACCCAACCATCCATCCATGCATCCATCCATCCGCTCATCCGTCTATCTCTGTCCATCTACACATACTTACAACCCACCCATCCATGCATCCATCCATCCGTCCACCCGTCTGTCCATCTATACATACATACATACATACATACATACATACATACGTACATACATACAAACTTACTTGCATGCGTGCATGCTGCGTGTGAAGTTGGCACGCCACGGCCCCCCCCACACATTGGGTCATTCCAACTTCGTGCTTTTTCAATTACGTGTCTGACATTAAACTTTTGATTTTCTGATAAGACGATTTCAGACTGCTTCCCTGATCTCTTAAAATAACTCCGGAGTTAGCTGACTGCCTCCTTGCATGACTTTACTCAAGCACCACGGCACCACACGCGCAAAAGTTTTGCCACAAAAGCCGCAGCCTAGAGACCACATCAAACCATACACAACCATGGCAGCCAAGAAGAACAAAGTTGACAACAAGACTCTTTAACACGAGACTATGACAGAAAAGTCCCAGCCCTCAAACCCCAAGCCCTAACCGGACTGTTCTGCTGCCCTGACACCCCTGAACCGCAGAAGCGCGCCGCCCTACTTCCCGAATCCTGTAGAAGTCTCAATCCGTGGTCATGACCCTGGAACCTCAAAAGAGCAAGCCGGGTTTTGGGTTTGGGCATCAGGTCTCCTTGTTTAGGGTCTAAGCCTCGGGTTTCAGGGTTCAGGCTCGAGGACCCTCAGCCCAGTCCCCTCTGCAGGCCACGGTTGGGCGGCAGCGGCGGCCGCAGCAGCGATCGACTCATTGTAGTGGAACCCTGCATCCAATCCTGGCTCTGGAAGTTCGGCCGCAGGTGGTAGTGCTCTCGTTGTTGTTATTGTTGCTGATACTGGTATCTGCTATTACGAGCTCTGTGAGATGGGGGTCTTACTCTGGGACCGGCGAAAGAGCGGTGGGACTGCGTTTGCTTTAAGGGGCATTGGCCCGAATTTGATTCAGTGCCCCACAAGCCGAAAACGCTCGCACTGAACCCTAGAATGGAGCTCTAAATATCACAGGCTCTGAACTCTGAACCCAAAAGCCTGGAAAGTTCCGGGGCTTCGGGAAGATCAGCCATTCGGCGTTTTCGCATCATCCCAAACTTGCAGTGACAGCTGTAACAACCTCCTCAACATCCCCAAGAATTCACCGAGTTTATCGCATCCAAGCAGGAATCACACGCAAACTCAGTTCTGAAATTGCACTCCTCGATCACTCAGTATCTGGTCCTTGAAAAGGAGCGATGCTGGTACTGACGTGGGAAACCCGGTCAAGCTTCAAATGCTACAGCTATGGAGCATTTCAAGAACTAGTGAGGTTCGCTTGTTCACCACAGGAACCAGCATCTCATTCAAACAGTATGGGTTTCGGAACGCCGATTCCGTGACCCATTGTGCCAAAAAGGGACTCTGCCGCTCTGCACAGGCGAAGCAGCAGGTGCCTCACATGCCACGCTTGCGCACTGCTGTTAGACGTGGCATCAGCGCTTTCAAACAATTTGCTATCTGTGAAGCAATGGCTGGTCTCATTTGCATGCTTCTTTACACTTTAAATATCTCAGAGACGCAGACGGCGAAACCACTTTCTCTGCACACCGCATTCGCAGCTGCTGCTCTGCACAGGTTGGGACGTGTGGGTCTTGGTGCTGCGCTGCTGCTTGCCCGTTGTTTTGCGTGTTGGGGTTGTGCTTGGAGAGCCCCACGGCTTTGGGCCACTTGTTTCATGTTGCTCCGAGACTCCACTGCTGCGTGAAATAAATGTAAAGAGCGACGATGGGAGAGGTGTTACGAGGGTGCTATAAGGGGCTATAAGGTGTGAACAGGAGCTTCGAAATCGCTTCCCTCGTTTATCAACCATCAACCTAACCTGTCGTGTTCTTGCTCTTGCTCCTGCTCCTGCTGTGGCTCTTGCTCTTGCTGTTGCTCCTGCTTTGGCTCCTGCTTTTTTTCCTACTCTTGCTTTTGCTCCAATTCTTGCTCTTGCCACTTGCATCCCCGTCATTCAAACTGGGTTTGAGAAGGCGAAGATGATGTTCTCAGGCGGAAGGAGCAAAAGCCGCGCCCGGAGCTGGAGCAAGAGCAGGGGCAACAGCGGGAGCTGGGGCAGGAGCAAGATCCTCCCGAATGTGAATGAATGTGACAACAAAGATAAAATCACCCCTAGAAACAACGACACTTTTCGATTTTTTTTTGGAGGAAGGGGGAGCCCCTCAGCTAAATATTAAGGGGAAGAGTTTATGAGTTTGTTCATACAGGGCCACGGGTGGCCATTTCGACAGTGAAGATGTGTAGGTTTGCGGGAAAGGAGAGGATACAGCTTCAGCTATCGTACTTTCTGTGGAACCCCCATAACTTCCGGATTCGGGCTGGTTCGTGCTTATGGTAGCACCCTACACTACCGTATCAATAGGTTGTTGCAGCTGCGCAGCTTGTCGTTGCTCTAGCAGTTTAGAGAATTCACACAGTTCCCTTCCCAACTGTGCAGCGGTCCGCAGGGAAGGCCCAAGCTACCGAAGCTGCCTCAGGCCGACAACCTGAAGAGCTTTTGACAAACAGACCTGTGAAAGGCAAGTTGTCATTCCAGCACGCTTTGGCTACCATGAGCTTTTTGCGAGGCCTCGAGGTATGGCCCCGGTGCCGGGGCCAAGCCAGCTGCGGATCGGAAGATTTGTCATAACATGTGGGGTCTGATCAGGACTCCCACGCCACTTGTTACGGACACAAGTGGCCACGATTCTTTTCGGAGCTTCGCAAAAAAACAGGCAGCAGGTGCCACCGGGAACAGAAGCGGCCCGCCATCTGGCCATGGCTCGGCCAGTGCACATCCCTCGTGAGCAATGCTTTGCAAAACTGACGAGGCCGCCGAGTACGGTGAAACGGCCTGAATTCACGAAAAGCTCTTTCAAACCCCTGCAGAGCTGTAGAAGACAGGCGGTTCAAACAACAAAAACTTGGCCAGCTCACCTTTCTTGCGATTACTGTCTAAACCGCGTTATCCTTCGCCCACGGTGTTTACTCTGGCTTCTAAGGCCCAAAGACAGCTACCCGAATCTACCCTAATTGAAAGCGCCGAAGGGAGTGCAGGCCGCGGCCACAGTGCCATCACCATCTCTGAGCCATGCAAGGCCGGATGCCTCGTCGATTGAAAGACGCTCCGAAGGCTGGAGGGCCAGGAGGCCCTCGACGAGCAATTTCAATTCCTCTGAGAAGCACTGGTCAATGTTCTTGGTAGGCGGAGTTTTCTTGACCTTTCGGATCCTCCAAAATTTCCTGTGACCATGTTCTAGCACATAATCGAAACACTTGCATCGGCCCTGAACCGTGCACAGCCACGGGTATGTCCGTGTAGTAGCTGAGAAGAGGACAACTCCCAAGCCGAAGCAGTCCACCAGAAAGGGGTCGTAGAACCGTGTCAACGTCATCTCTGGTGCCTGAAGGCGGGAATGCTACAACCCTACTGCTGGAAACCGCGAAACCACAAACAAAATCTCTGGTGCCTGGTAAGAAGGCTTCCCACGATGACCACAAGTCATCTTTTCGCCGACGACGGCCATGCTAAAGTCTATAATCTTCACCTCGGTGCTTGCCCCAATTAGAGCTTGTGCGGAGTCTCCCAAACTCCCAAATCGTCGCTGCCGGAAACAAGGATCTCCTACACGACCCTAATTTAGCCAGTTCCCCACCTGAAGATGTCCATCGGTGGGATTTTTTGAAACAAGAATATTTTCCATAGAAACGTCGCAATGAGCGATGTAACGATCATGTAGATATCTCATGGCTGAGAACAGCTGCACCATGAAGGGTCTTAGCGCCTCTTCTCGCTCTAGGCCCGCTTCGGGTCCTTGAGTCACGAAAGTGAAGAAGTCGCCTTCCTGGCTTGCTCAGCTTCCTACCAAAATTAAAGGTTGACATTTGGGAGTGTCTAGGTAGGCTCTGCGATTCTCCTCAAAACGTGACTTCAAAATTTACTCGACTGCCCAGCTGCTGTTGCGACATCGGAGGCGCAGTAAAGCCATGCATTATCTCGAAAGATGCCCTGAGGGTGACACAGGAAGTTGACTCCCTTCTTGCTCAGGTGCCGAACGATCCCGAGATCCATCCAGGGATTCTCTGTATCCTCTGGATGATGCAGTCGATGCTGCTGGTGGCCTCGACATACTAACCGTAATCATGATGCATGATAAGGGAGAACAGCAATAGCATAATCGAGTTTAATCAAGCAACAGCAGCAAGCTAAAGTAAACATGGTCAGTCACCATGGCACCTGTCGAGGTCCAGGAAATTGGCATGACCTTCACTGCCACAAAGCTGCCGTCGTTGACGTACTTCATTAAGCTTACATGTCCTTGATTTCGAGCAGCTTTCTCCAAAGTCCGGTGAAACTCGAAGCTTGTAGGGCTCCACTGCTGGACCTCTCCACTCACCGCCTCGAGGTGGTTTCCCACCTCTTTGACTTCCTCGAGTGCAGAAAGGCCGATGCAACTTGTGGGCGACACAGTCGAGGTCGAATCCGTCGCGCTACTGGCACTGGCTGTCGAATTCGAAGGCAGGCTTCCAGCCGACTCTGAAAATTTTTGCATACTCACGGCACGGCAAGCCTCGCTCATCAGGACTTCTGCTGCCGTTTCGAAGCTACAGCCATGCTGTGCCTGCACAGTCTTGAGTCCACTGCCCGGTGCTGTGGCCTGGTATCCTCCCGACATTACGACTTGGAGCCAAGCAGTCTTAAGCCAGACGGCTAGCGGCTATCGGCTTCGGCATAAAAGGTTCTGGGCTCGGGAGGATAAGCGCAAAGATCAGCCGACAACGTTTAATTATCATACAACGCTTACCCTAATTTAGAGAAACCCTGACTGGAAGAGGTTAGGGGCAGGGTCGTGGAGGCTTCACGAAGTTGGAGTTTCAGCGGAGAGGGAGTTTTCCCGTGGATGGCGGCATCAGTTGGGGCTTCCTGCCACGAGATCTCAGGACGGAGCTACTTCAGCATCTTGGCTTTGCTTAGTCACTAAGCGGCTTCGGCGAGTAGGTAAGTCGCATTACGAATAATCTGCTGTTGATGTTGTACTAGACATGCACAGAACAAATCACTGTATGAACAATTTCGGTCAAGGCTTCTAGGCTTTGGGCTTTTGCTTCAGGCTCATGTCTTGCCTGTCCTAGGTTCTGAGATTTGTGGAGCATCAGCAACTGAGTTGAACCCGATTACGTTACACCCAAAACCCTGAGCATGAAAAGCAACCACAATTCCACGATCCGTGCTCGGTCTGGTCGGCCCGCCTCATCAGCACTGACCTCTCCAAGTTAGCTACATGCAGCACAGCTGCTGAGCTGGAGAAGTGTTGTTTCATGGCTCATACAGGTATAAGCTGTGCATGACGTTCGCGGTACCCTCGCAAGGTTCTGGCTGGATGCTGCTGCTCATCTTACACAGGCCAACCAAGATAGTTGCCTGCAATCGGCTTCCAATATGGGTCTGCATCACTTCATGAAGCAATCGTAGAGTGGTCCAGGTGTCGTCATCCTGCTGTCTTCCCTGTGACGTGGCCCGGTTTGGAATCTAGGCAGCCATAGTAACATGAAGCTTTCAAAATCTTTTTGCTTTAAGCCTTACGGCCCTATATGCATCGAAGACATGTCTTTGAGGTTCATGGTATTATCGAGATTCATGCTGCTCCCAAATCCTCTCTCCCTTAGACTAGAACCCAGAGTTTCGCCATGAGCCAACACCGACATGCAGGAATCATTCGCGAGCCTTGTCAGCGACGGTCACTGCCAGGGAATAGCCCAAGTCCTCCCACAACACTGAGGTCGCCAAGATACAGCTTTCCGAAGAGGAAAACTTCTGGTCGAGCAGCTGCTTGAAGGCGAACTACAGCTTGCTAGGGGGATGTCCCGTCCATAGAGCTGAAGTAGGCCTATTTCTTTGGCCTATCAGCTTAGAGGCCAGATTTCCACAGAGCTAGAGCTTAATGTCACAAGCCCAGATACACAGGAGCCTACACGACTCCACTCGGTTCCGGGATGTTTGTTAGAACTTCAAAGAATTCTTTGCGACACCATGTGAGCACACCATACGCAAAACTGCGGAACAGAAAATCCGGTGCCCATCGCGGGTCCATAGGCGGTGTCTCGTCGCTCCTGTGGCTTCCGCGGCTGTCCAGGTTCTGTTTAGGGTCAAAAGGTTTCAGGGCTGTTAAGGGCCGGATGAAGTTCAGGGTGTCTGTTTACAAGACGCGGTAGCCGACTGAGGGCTCCCCACACATCCACCATTCTGGGAATTCTGAATGGAATGCTAGGCGACAAGGGGCTTTGTCAGTGTATAGTAGGCCTGAACTCTCAAATGTCAGTATGAGAACTGCTCCAGATTATGGTTTTGTAGGGTCGAAAACAGGTGAACCATGAACTCGTTCCCAACAGCCTCGCACTCTTCATGTCTGGCTGAACCTTGTGTAGCACACAACCTTAAGCACCTGAAATCCAAAACTCATTACAAAGGCACCCTAACTTGGCACCCTAAGTTTAGACTAAAACCCTCAAACGCACTCCTGGAGGTCAACATCGGCGTGCGAGGTGTGTTGCCGCTGGAGCCCCGGCCAAGGAGGAGAGGCCTTAGTATCTGCTATCTCCTGTATCTCTGGTTTCAGGGAGAGATTTGTGATCAGGCAAATGGGGTGGCAACTGGCAGTCTTCGCTCCTCCTTTCTTGGTCGACCTCTCAAAAAACACCGTGCTGAACCCTGGAGCCCAAGGTTCTAAACACAACCAGACCTGAGGACAACCTGTGAGACCTGCTTGCTGGACCCCAGCCTTGGCCAAATCCGCCTGCAGCTGTTTGCTAAAGCACCTTAAGCCTCCGTCTATGAAGCAAAGCCACTTCCAAGGAGGTTTGGACTTGAGGCTTCCAGAGTGTTGCTTGTGATCAACCCTCCAATCCAGACCACCAACAACAGCTGAATCCTGTCTTGATTCCCCACCGGTTGCACCCAAAAGGTAAGTACCTACTAAGGCCCTGAGACCCCACGCTCTGAAGTCCCAGCCCGAAACTACACTTCAACCAGGAATTCGCCTAACCCCCTAAATCGCAAGTCACGATCCACCACCCCACACCCACCCACATGACCCACACCCACCCACACATAGCCACACACCCACACACACACAGAGGCAGACGCACAGGCACACGCACACGCAGACCCACACCCAGACCCGCACACACACACACAACCACAAGCAAGCGCTTAACTTATAGTGTATTATGTAAACTTTCGTCATATGAGACCGTCCTATGTAATGTTATTTTGTTATATTATGTAACCCCATATTTAATCCCATATCATGTTACATTCTGTTATACTACTTGGTTTGAGTGTTCTGAGTTCGGGGTGAGGTTAATCTTCCATAACTTACTTTTTCGTAGCATCTGAATGCAAGCACTACTGCAGCAGACATCGCAGGCCTCAACACCCTAAACCCTAAACTCTTGACACCCTACACCCTGGGCATGCCTCGGAAGCTCCTCGCCAGCTGCAAGGGCCTTGAATCAACGGGAATCAGAGGGGATTACCTGTAGCCCACAAAACCTGAATAAGTAAGGAGCTCCGTAGATGTAGATTATTGAGCCAAAACTGGGGCTTAGCGAACATGTTGACTTTGTGGATGTAGCACGGGTCTCTGCAAAGGACACGATGCAACCCACGTTGCGATGTGAATACGGCCGAACGATACGGATGCCATCATATATATATATATATATACACACATAAATACATACATACATACATACATACATACATACATACATACATACATACATACATACATACATACATATGTCGGCTTTCGTTTCTGCCAAATGCTGCACCAGCTCTGCTCCCGAAAACCATACTTGAGATACCTGTATGGGTCAAAACCAGGAGAAGGCATAATCAGAGACTCACGGCGCTCCGCCCATCCAAGGAAATGCAGGAGAGTCACACACTGGTCAAACCTGGACAGGCGAAGCACGACTAGCCACATGAAAGCCGATCTGCCGCACAACCATTGACAAAGAGTAGTATCCAATAGCGCCACAGAAACAGAGAGCACCGGACAGGTCGGGAGCTGCGAAGTGGTCTGCATAGATATACTCATCGAAGCAGCGAAGCCGCTTTACCAATATCCCGATACAGAACAAAGCCTTCAGCAGCTTTACCTGTATGAACCGAGCTATGCTTCAATCCTCTGCAGAACATGCTCGCTCTCAGCGACAAATCCTAAGATGCTCAATCCCAAGCAGGAAACCTAAAATCTCTCAACCCTGAAACAACTCATCCACCGGGAATCCGGTCAAGCGCTTCCCTCGTCCGCTCCACATCCCGGGCCAGGTCCAGCGCCTGGGCTAGGACTGTAGCTTTTCGGTTTGTTTGGGTTAACACAAACATCGTGCTTAGGATTTCTCCGCTGAGAGATTTAATGACTCCAATTTGGGGTTCCGTCATAGTGGGTTCAGGCGTCATGTGTCAAGGCGGTGTTTGCGGCTTAGGCGAATAGCGAAGTTCAAATTTTGTTCCGGGACTTCAGCCGGCTTGAAGATGGGAGTGAACCGCTTCGGGTTGCAGAGTCTCTAAGCTTCGGGAGGTCAGGGTTTCCGGGTCTCAGGCTTCAGGGCTAAGGGTTTAATATGCGTGGAGGATTCGGGTTTTGGGCTGTATTACCGCCGATGGTTAATGATGACGGCACAAGGCCCGCCCAGTGTAGGGTCGAGGATCCTTTCGGTGTGCGCAGTAAAGGCTTATGAAGCTTTCGAACGAACGAATGCTTTTCGTGGGCCCTGTGGCCACGGTCTGATTGGAATCTTGAGGTTCCCTTCTGCTCGAGTGTGTTGAGGACGACCAGTTCCAGACGTATACAGAGGAGGCAGGACATCAATCCGTTACGTGGGTGGGCTCAAAAAAATTCCGAACCTTCTGCATGGTAGAAGGTTCATCCACCATGCACCTCCCAACCCAAACCTTCAAGCACAAAGCCCTGAAGCCGCAAGCAGCTGGTTGAATTAATTACAAACCATGACTTCCTCTTGTCGTTCGAACCAGCCTGCATGAATAACCCCCGTCACGAATTGGCTGAAACACCATGATATAAAGATAAATCTGATCAAGCCTCCTAAGAAGCCTTACTACAACAGTAAGTCCCGCCAGGAGCCCAAGAGCGGTAAACCTTACGACCCAGCAATACCGATGCCCGCCCACAAACACATATAGGAAAAGGCACCTGAAGCCAAAACAAAGCAAACCCTTTTAAGAGCCTAAGCTCTCTGGGCTTCCAAGCCGTCTTACGTGCATCGTCAGTCAGAGCCTGGGCAACGATAAACTGCCCGGACCGCGGCGTATCCGAGGCCACCTCCGGGCGTGTGTTCTCAGGTCGCTCCAACTTTGCCCCAGTACCCTGAAGTATCCTGAAGTATCCTGAGCCCTAGCCCCGAGAGTCGACAACCGCCAATCCTAGTGTAAGAGCGGGAAATGGATCACCTGCTGTCCCCTTGGCCCTTCCTGTCATCAAGACCTCGAAACGCTGCAGATTAGGGCCTTAGGCTCTAGCTCAGATGATGCAATCGATCGGGAGTTCTTTTCGTGCGGGCATTTAGAGTACAGGGCACTACAATGGGGGATTAAGGCTGACATAGCATATAGCCTAGAAACATGTCCCGGGATTCCTACGCCGTGACTTCATCAGTTGTTAGAAAGTGTCCATGTTTTAATTCTGAACTCTCTGGCTTCTTACCAAAAATCCAAAACCCAGACACATGCATGCGCAAAAATTGCGAGCTTGGCGGGGTTGGGGCTGCACGATCAGTTCATGCGATGTCAACCCTTGGGTCTGGACCTCAAGATCCGGCGGAGCCATACAGCAAGAGACTGTGTGAGTGCACCCCAGCACACCCTTTGCTAAGGCCTGGCCTTGTTCGGCCAAGTGTCTGCCAGGCTTGGACCTATGGGCAGTGTGCCGAACATTGAGGCATCTGTAATTTCAAGCTCGGGCTTCTCGGCTAGGGCTCTAGACCTGAACACAATCTCGGTCAAGTGTTGAAAGTTCTCGGTGGCCGAGGCTTGAAATCGAGAGTTCTCGGTCTTGTCTGGCAACCCTGCGGGGAAATGCTTACATGAGGCACCGCCCCAAAAATAAACTCCCTAGCAGAAGATGTTTGATGCCAACGTGTCGTGTATGGGGTAACTCGAAAACGGGTATACAGGCTCTGTGAACCATTCTAGAGCTCAACTAAATCCCAGCCCCAAACAAGAATTTGAATACTAAACTCAGGTTATGGAGGGGGCATAACGTCATACATGCGCTGTTTAGAGTTTAGACCCCTGTATGCAATCTCTTGTCTCGGATCTCCAGCCTCGGCCGTCGGCCACCTCAATGCACGCCTTGGCCCGGCTGCAGACTTGGAGATTTGAGGAGTTGCCAAGACAAGGGCTCTGGAGAGTAGGAGTCATAATATAGAAGACTCCTGAAGAAGGTGTCCGTTGCTTCACCGGAAAAATAAAGGCAACAGCTTAAATTCAATCCCGCAAAGAAGAGCCCTCGACCCTGAAGCAAACAGTTGCAGCCCAAGTGACTGAGCCTAAGGAAGACACTGGCACGACCTGTCACAAGGCTACGCTGCGGTTTCAGGGCGAAAACTTCAGGTACAGCGACTTGCGCGACGCCTCTCGCCCTCCCCTCTCACCAACCAACCCCTCTTTTTTAAAGGTTTCACTGGGGTGCATAATGTTGGGTAAAGGTGGCATGGGCTTTGATTCGCAAACATTACGTACAATACACCTTGAGCAGGAAACCCCAACCTTAAGGAACTAGAATTTGCTTTGCAGATTGAGAGGTCCAGGTGAGGATAATACAAATCAGAATCAACATGATGAGTGTCGTGGTAATATGCTTTTCGTTCGAACCATTTAAGTCGATATTCGGATATTCGGAAAACCAACGTAAATCGTGTAAACCGTTATTTCTCAACCTCCGTGCTGCTGTTGCCTGCAATTTCTGAGGGCTGTGGCGGTTGAAGGCATCTGATACCGTTTAGACAGCTAGCGACAAGAAGAACAAGAACAAGAAAAATAACAAGAAAAATAACAAGAAAAATAACAAGAACAATAACATGAACAATAACAACAATAACAACAACGAAAACAACAACGAAAACAACAACAACAACAACGACAACAACAACAACAACAACAACAACCACAACAACAACAGCAAGAACAACAACAACACCAACAACACCAACAACACCAACAACACCAACAACACCAAGCACACCAACGA